TCAGGCGCTGCGGCAGCACCTCCTTATCCAGCAGCGCGCTCTCCCGCTCCGCCTGGCTGTCCTGCAGCGCTTGCTTCAGCCGGGCGACCTGCGGCGCCGAGGGAAAAGATGTCCCCATGGGAAGATGTGGCCCTGGGCACCCCACGGAGGGACGGAGAGGACGGCGTGGGGACCCACAACCCGCCGGCCCTCGCCCTACCTCGTCCTGCAGCCGCCCCATGCTGAACTGCATCTTCTCCACCTCGGCGCCCCGATCCTTGGCTTGTTTCTGGGAGTCCGTGATCTCCTTCCGCGACTTCTCCTTGAACTCCTCCAGCTGCGACTTCAGCACGGCCAGCGAGCTCTGCGACTCCTCCGTCATCTGCTCCAGCTGCGGCAGAGCGGGGACAGCTCAGGAGCTGGGGACCAGCCCCGACCCCATCCTGAGCTGATGGGACTCGAGGTGGGAGAAGATCCCCGTGGGCGGGGGGCTGGGGGGGACATTTCTGCCCCGTGGGCACCAGGATGAGGGGCGGCAGCGCTGCCAGAGCGGCCTCGGTGACGCCAGGCTCTGAGCAGGCACCGGGCTCTGGCAGGAGCCAGCAGGGGAAGGGCAGGGGACAACACGGCCCTGGGACACCGGGGGATGCTGATCCCGGGGGACAGCGTGGTTTTATGGGGTCTCCGGGACACCAGGGAAGGATCGGTCCCAACCAGCTCCGCAGGGACACCGGATCCATGCCCGAAGTCCTGCATCTCTCTCCTAACCCAGCGAGGGAAGATTCCCATCCCGTGGCACACACACCGGCTGTCACGGCACACGGTGCCCCGCGGGACGAGGGTCCTGGGGGTGGGAAGTGGTCCCGGAGGCACCCGGGCGTCCCAACCTCTTTGTTCAGCTTCTCCGTGGTGCGGTCGAGCAGGCGCTTCTGCTCCTCCAGCTCGCTCTTGGCGCGCTTGAGCTGCTCCTTCTGCTGCTGCTCCTCCTGGTAGGACGCGCTCAGCTCCCGGTGCTCCTGCGTCAGACGGGCCAGGCTGCGCTGCGCCTCCTCCAGCCGCGTCTCCAGCGACCGCTTGGCCATCAGCAGCTCCTGCTCCCGCTCCGTGGCTTCGCCCAGCGACTCCTCCATCTGCCTGCGCTCTGCCTGCAACGAGGGGGATCTTCAACCTCCCTGCCTTGGCGGGGGAACGGCTCAGGGCAGCTCCGGAATGGCTCAGGGCAGCTCCGGTACCTCCAGTTTGGTGACCTTCTCCTTGAGCCGTGCCTGGGAGCCCTCCCAGCTCTCGCCCAAGCGCTCGTACTCCTTCAGCTGCGTCTCCATCCCCAGGACCTTCCTCCTCAGGTCGTCGTTCTGCTCCTGCACCTCCCGCAGGGTGGACTCCACCGTCTTCCTCGCCTGCTCCGAGGCCTCCCGCGCGCTCTCCAGTGAGGTCTTTGCCTGCAACGCAGCCACGGCACGGGGTGGACTCGGGGCCAACTGCTGATCCAGGGGGGTCTCGGGGGGCAGTTGGGGCTTGCATCCCTCGGGATGGCTGGCCAGGGGCAAACCCCCTCCTTGCCCTGGTCCCCACGCTCACCGTGGCGGCCTCGTCCCGCTCCTCCTGGAGCTGCTGCAGGTCCCTGCGGTACCGCCCCAGCTCCT